CATATAGCTTAAGTACCAATACAACCACCACCTTCCAAACAAATGCTCCTTTTTCCTTATGTACACATGCATACATGTGAAGAAACCAAATTAGTAAGGGTTCTTATCTATATATCACCTTCATTATTAGTATTATTTCTAACACAATTTTTATTTTGAATGAAAAGCATTCAAAAACCAAAGTACAGGTCAAATTTCATATATTATAAAAATAACTACTGTTAAACCTCACCCAAGGATATTTTTTTTTCCCATTGATTTTTCAGAGGATGGGAGGGAGGGAGAGAGACAGAGACATCCCGCACTAGCACGACTGGGGCGGGGGATCGAAGCCTGTAACGCAGTGGATCTCAACCTTCCTAATGCCGCGTCCCTTCAATACAGTTCCTCATGTTGTGGTGACCCCCAATTTCATTGTTACAAACTGAACATAATTAAAGCATAGTGATTAATCACAAAAACAATATGTAATTATATATGTGTTTTCCGATGGTCTTAGGCGACCCCTGTGAAAGGGTCATTGGACCCCCAAAGGATTGAGAACCGCTGCTATAATGGAAGTATTTCCCTTGATGGGAACCGAACCCGGGAGCTTTCAGTCCTTGGGCCAATACTCTAACCACTGAAAAAACCTGCTAGGTCTACACATAACTATTTTAAAAAACAAGTTGAAAACTCCCTATCTTGTACAGTAATTTTTGAAATATGCCTCATATTCTTTAAAAAGCCTATTCATTTTGAAAACTCAATAATTAACTTACAAATATAAGGACTATTAAATATTTTATATCTCAAACTGTATTGATTTGTCACAAATCATATAGCATTCAAAATTGATTTAAAAGTCATGAAAATTCATTTTATTTTTCTTTCAGCAAAGATGTCAATATTTTATAACTCCATATGTAACTGTAAATTAATTAAATATATTTATTGCCCAAAATATCAAAGTTAATATAAATTAAAATACTTATAAATTAAAGTTTTAAGCTTTTTTTGACTCTTGTGATTAGAACTGCCCTCCTTTACGAAACCCAATGAGGAAAAATTCCTACTTAAATTATGGGGTACTAAAAGTAAGCTAAGAATTCAGATTTCTTTAAAAATTTTTTCATTTACTATATAACTCAATTTTACACAATTTAACTTGAGACTATCTGCATTGACACAAATATGTTATGAGTAAATGTATTTCTTAAAAATTTTATCACAGGCTAAGGTAATGATTTTCTTTTTAAGAAACTATGTGGCTGTTATATAGAAGGGTGGAGAAAGCATATTACCTCAATATAAATCTTAACTTTAGTCTCAGTAATGTATGATCTATAAACTTACGATTTCAGGAAACTATAATCCTGGAATCACTCAACAGTGTATGATAAGTGTTTAAAATGTATTTATTTTGTATAGTAAGTCTTTTAATGGGATTTAACTCAGCAAATTATATATTCTAATCATCAATTTTACACTTTAAGTATTTTAAAAGCAAACTATTTTATCTGAAATATAAATTTTATGCTCTGAAAATCTGTTTAAATGTATAATGTATTTAAAGATTTAAAAATTAAAAGTCAATAAATATTAGGACTAGAAAAATCTTTTAACAGTAATAAACTACATTATATCTTTAAACTTATCATCCTAAAGTCTTCTTGCAGAAAAGTTCATTTTTTTTCCTGTTGGGATTATCACTGTTTTTCCTCTTTCCTTCTTATCTCTTCTCCCACCAAGATGAAAAAGGCAGCAAATAATCAGAAAAAATAGAGGCTAGGCACCAAAAGAATGACCATTTTAGTACCACAGTTTGACAGTTGGAACTATCAAAAAAAGTTATTAGTGAAATAAATATATGATTTCAATTTTTTAAATAATTAAATGACAATTATTTAATAATATCTTCATTACTTTATAAAGAAAATTAAACACAAAGCTGCCCATTTCCTCAACAATTCTTTTCTGAATATCTTCTTCAACAAAAGTTTAAACAAATATTTAATCAAATTACTAAATATTTGTTAAATAAAGCACAATATTTTTAAAACCTCATGGTATGAAATATTTAACTTTATAATTTAAAAATCTCATAAAATACCTAACTAGGTAATTTAAAGAGTACCTCAGGATATCAAGTACATTAAATGTCATTAAACCTTGATGACACAATTTTATCTAGGAGTCAAAATCACCACATTACTTAGTTTGTGATAAATCATATCTTCTTTTGGTAGTTCTAGCAAGGACTAGGTTAAAAACACACACACACACACAAAAACCACCTCAAATAACAACTTAAAATCTCTTTCTTTGAGAAATCTTTAAATCTAAAAGTAATCAAGTTTTAACACATACTTTCACTAATTCAAGGAGATGAGACAGAAAAAACATGAACTTTCAAGCAACTGTGATATCCTACATCTTGTATAGTAACACAAAAGTAGCAACAAAGACATTAACAATTGCAGTTCAAGCTGGGAGTGACTGTTCTGTTTCAATTCAATGACACCACTAATGGCTTCTTAGCAGCTCCATGAAATCAACCAGCTGTCAAGTTGATGCATCAGAAGGAACAGTTATGCACTCCCATAAGAAAAAGCAACACATCAGGATGTTGGGCAAAACATCTGCTCCTTTACAGTGCAGTTCTAATAAACATGCAAACAAAGAAATAGGAGAAAGGGCAACAGTTCTAAAATTCCAAGGTTTCCATTACAGTCATATGAATTTTAAATAAATGGTTCATAAAAATAAAAACAAATTTCTGCCAAGTTGGATACTTTAAATTATTCCCTATCTTTTGAAAATGCTAGTTATAACTACTCAGATACTTCTAGAAAGGCAAAAACTACATTAAAAAAATCTTTACATTTTAAAAATTGAATGAACTATATTCACCAAGTAAAATCATTATCATGTTATGCACAAAACTCAAATATTAATACTAAAATATATTCTTCATTTAATAAGTACTTAGTTAATTATGTCAACAGTAAGTCTAATAAGTGCATTTCCAAGACTGAATAGTCTAAAAATATTTTTCAGTAGTGTTTGAAAGACTTAAATGTGTTATACTTCAATATTAGTTTAACATATGAGAACAGTAAAGGTATTATTCTCTGGATTTTAAAATAAGTACCTACTTCTCTCCAAACCATTACATGATTACAACAGTATTAAGTTCTCATAAATAACTTCCTATGTTTAAAACATACAATTTGATTTCCTAAAAAAATAAACTTATTTGTCATCATAGGCTTAAAATAATTTTACATTTAACCATTCATTTCAAACATTTGTAAAATCTCACTTTTTTCTATCTGACACAAGTGCCTCGATGTTGCCCAAATTATTGATTATGCAGCACAGTGACAATGTGTATAGTGTTTACAATAGGTATGAGACATCAAATATATTTAACTACCATTTTCTTAAACTGCTTATCCTCTGTTGCTTGCCATTTGTAATCTGCCAAATCTTCTAGTCCTTTGTTGCATGTATAATTTAGAACCATCTGTTCTATGTGCTTATAACTATTTAAACATTTTTACCTACCTACAATTCACATAAATGGCAGACATTCACTTCAGTCAAGCTTTCTATATAGCATTTTACATAAAGCAAATTCCTAGATAAAAAGCATAGCAGATAACACCAAAGAAGACTGCTACAGAGATAAAACATACCACATACAAGTTTTTATGTCTTAGACAAACCTTTTCATGTATTCAGAATTGTTTCTATTATTTTTTTTTAGTTAATTGTAGTCAATGTTTTTCCCCAACCCAGAAGACAAAGAGAATGCAAATTAAATACAGACAGTTTCATGTCCTTGTTAGAAGAGAAGTAAATATGCTGACTGCAAATGACTACAGGAGACAGAATTCCACTTTCCCATTCAATTTACAGTGCCTCTTATTTATATACCAGTCAGTGTATCATTAAGTTTGATCATGTGACCAACTGAACTTTTGTGAGGTGAAAAACTATTTTAGACAAGCAAATTTAAACAACACTGGTTTTTATTGTTTATCTTTTCATAATGGCTGACAGGGCTTATAGCTTGAGGTTATAAAACATATTTTAAAATCAATTCTGTATTTTAAATACTAACCACATTTTCACCAGTCGTTTGACTTAATATCTGCTACTAAATTTTAAAAGGATCCAGTATCTCCAAGTATTTTCAATGGTTATATATTTTCAAAATATAAACGCATATGTATAAAACAGAGTAATTACAAAAGGGAATCTAGGTAATCTAAAATAAGTATACCTAAATATTAACCAAACTGATTAAAGAAAATTCCACAGCAGAGAGTGAGGTAAATAAAAAAGGGATTACGCAGATTAAAAATAACATTTGAAACCCTCAAAGAAGAAAAAGCACGTAGACAAAAAAAGCTAGGTGAATATCAACTGACACTATAAAACTTTACACCATTTTTTTTTGCACAATTTTCCACCTGTTACTAGATCATACAATGTGTAGACATTTAGGTTCATTTTTGAGAAGAGAACACAAAAATAAACAGTACAACTTATCGTTAATCAGTAAGAGACACGGTCCTTTAAAACGGGGGGGGGGGGGCCGAAAAATTTACTCTTGGGACAAATACCCAATAAAGTTTACATGACGTCACTGAGCCCCTGAACATTCCCTAAACTTTGAGTCTTATCCAGACACACTTTTTGCCTCTCTAAGGCTTCTTCCCCTTCCTCAAAAATAAAAAAAAAAAGAGAGAGACTTGGGAATAAAAATTGCCCAAGATGGCGAAACGCTTGTTGTTTAGAGGGCAGAGGGAAAAAAATGGAGGATATTGTAATATACACAAAGGGATAAATTTCCACAACTCGGCCAAGGGCTGCAGCTGCTTCTCCCTTTACAAGGAAGCAAACACAAAAGATAAAGACGCAGAGCCAGAAAAGAAGGGAAAATCGCCCGACAGCAGGGCCAGCTCTGCCTCTCCCAGCATTTCCTTCCTCCCCAAGTCCCAATTCTGGGGTTCGTGGAACTACTCTAAGGGGAGGGGAGCCGCGAAAGGGAACGGGGGGAGGGGGGCATGAGGATGAAAAGAGCGAAGAAGAGTTGAGAGCTGGCGGCGGCTCCCGGGGAGAACTGCTCCGAGAGACATTACTGTGGGAAAGCTAGGCTCCTCTAGCCCCGTGTGTGCCGACAAATAGACCTTCCAGGTATTTCCCAGTGCCACCTGCCCCCCACCCCCACCCCGGCTCGTTTCTGTCAACTCCAGAGCTCCAGGCTACACGGGGAAGAGCCAGAGGCCCGAACTGGGGGGTGGCAGGCGCAGCTAATCGGTCCTGCAGGAAAGAGGGGGCGGAGGCAAAAAAGGGCAGCAGTAGGCGGACAGGGTGGGGGTGGGGGGAACCTCGCAACTACCCCGGCGAGAAGGGGGGCAGTGGATATTCCCGGGTTGGAACAGCGATCTCCACAAGGCCAGAGATTGTTTTTTTTTTTAACTAAGCAAAACTGTTGGCGGCGACCTGAGCGCTGGGAGCCGAAGGAAGGAAGAAAGAGACGCCAGCCGGGCGGCCGAGCGGGGCGGCCGGCACAAAGGAGGCGGACTCGCGGCCGCAGCTGCCCGCGCCGGGGAGGCACGGCCCGCGGCCCTGCTGGACCGAAGTCCCGCACCGGCAGCTAGGAATAAAGTTTACGTTCTCCTGAGACCGCACCCCCCCTCCTCCCACCCAGGACCGCGCATCTCCGCGTCCTGCTCCCCCAAACTCCACTCGGGACCCCGAGCACCACCCCAGCCTCGCAGCCAGCACAACAAAGAGACACACCGACCGGCGAGCGTAAACAGCCGCGGCAGGGCGAGCAGGGCGGGCAGGGCGAGCGCCTCGAGGTAGCGACTCCGGAGTCTCCCCGGCTCGCCGGAGCGTAGTTTCTCCTTTTCTGTTTCAACCAGCCTTACAACACTGGGAATTTTCATTTTCACCCGCGCCCCTCTTACCCGAGGATTTTTAACTCACCTTTACTTTCGAACTGAGTTGCGGTGGATGGGATTTTTGTCTTCCCCGGATGGTTGAAGGTTACGATTTTTGTTTTTTTGGAAAGCCCAACACCTCCTTATTCCTGTGATTATTTTTTCAAGAAAAGTAGAGAGTTGGAGTGGAGGTGAGACTGGTGATCGGGAAAGCCCTGGACTCCCTCCTTCTCCGTCTTCCGCCTCGCTCTCTCTGATTAGTTCCTATCCAGCAGCAGATTGAAGCAGGAGATGATTCTTCTCAAGGTTTGTTCAGCAGCTTCACTTCTAGGCGAAGGCTTCATGAACCAAGTGACGTCAACCAACAAGGCTTCTCTCTCTCTCCTCTCTCTAACAATGAAAGTTGCTGTTAACAAGGGAAAAAAGAGAGAGAATTGTTTATACCATTTCACTTCCAATAATAAATGACCTATCAGCTCCTAAAGGAGCCAAGGGAGGGAGGGGGTTGCTTCTTCTTCTCAAGGATACTGTAGCTTTAAGTTTGCACCGTTCCTGGTCCCAGGAAAAAGTTAGGAAACTTCATGTTTTGTTTTGCTTTGCTTTTAAAAGCAGAGAGGACAGAAAATGAGATCGAAAACGGAATTTTTCAAAAACGTAAACTGGAGAATAGGGAACATAGATTAACCATTTCCACCTAAACTTTTTTGTCCGTAAACTCAGAATTCGGTTGAAGTCCACAAGCCAACTAAATTAATATGCCAAGAATTCGTGGGTGTTTGGAAATCAAAATAAAATAAAAAGAAGGACGCAAGATTGTCCCGGGATTAAACGCTACTGCCCTAACACGGGCAAGTTAAACTGTAATGTTTATGCATGGAGTTAAAATTTAAATAAAACATTTTAAAATAGTAAACCGTTTTAAATTTATAAATTAAAACTGTAAAAGGTAATCTCAATAGTAGCTCCCTCCTCCTCCCAATTTCTGAGAGGTTAAAGTGGGGGATAGCTAATTGTAGGAATTGAACACTTGTAAAAATATCAAATTAAGTAAGACTACTGGTAGCCCATTGCTCCATCTTTAAACTACACACGAGGCATGCTATTTGTCTACTCCAAAAATTTCCAACTTTGTTTTTTACCCTACTATTTTTCACAATTCCAACATCCTGAAATCAGTAAAGTTAAACTAAAGGTAAAGTACAGCACATTCTCTCTTCCTGCACACACTCCATAGTTTCTTAAAAATTATTTTAAAAGAAGTCTTTACCTTGGTAATGCTCTATTACTCAATATGATAAATAATTTTTAAAATTTTCATTGAGGTGTTTTTCCCCCCAAAGCACATTAAAGTCTCCAAATTCATATAATTAAAAATTGCATAATTTAATTTTCAGGATGAAGAGCAAGGGAAAGGCAAGCTTTAGAAGAATAATTTGACTATATATTCATACATATATATATGTGGATAAATGTATCTTAAAAGACGCTATTGTTTTATGTTTCCTCTTCAGCCACTGGCTGTGAGTTTAATTGTGCTGGAGGATCTTCATTAGTATTAACACATGGGGAGATTTCACAAAGCTGCTTCATTAGGGGGAAAAAAAAGAAAGCTTGGCAGACTAGGTCTTTTTGCATGCACTGAGAATGTCAGCCTTACCTCGGTCATTTGTAACATAATAAGTGCAAGTACAATGATTGCAATGCTGAAGCACTGGGGGAAGGGTGGAAATACTGCCTGTCTAATAGGGATATCTGAAAAGAAGGCTGCTCATTACATAGTAAAATATATGCTAAAAATTAGTGAAGATGATGGCTCAGGAGACTGATGCTAAATAAATTAATGTGCTGATATGTTTTTAATTATTATTTTTGTAGTAGTTTATTTCATTCTCAGGATTCACATTGAGCAGCAAAGCTTGTGCTAGCACTTATTGATTTTTTTCCCCTGCCACATTCCCGGAATACAGATTTTAATCATTTCACTACACCACACTCAGTAATTTCATTAAAAACTGGAACCTTCCATCCCAGAAAAGCATTTAATTTCAATGACATACAATTTCTCTCTTAGCAGAAAACTGTCTGTACAGTAAAAGCTGGCCTAAGGTTCAAATGCATAATTTAATCCTGAGTTTTCCATGCTCTGCATTCCTTTGAAGCTATAATTTGAGTAACTACCTAATAACTATAATAAGGACAATAATTTCCTTTAATATATTATTAACTCATATTTAATTAACTCAGAGGCCAAGCTCTGTACATGTATGACTGGGTCAACCGTTCTACAATTTCAAAATTTACTAATATTGTTCCAGAAAAAATATAGATTAAAATATAAGTGTAAATACTAGCATTTAGATATTCTGTAGAAACTAACATGCAAAAAAGTTCATGCATGTTTATATACTAGAGGTCATTACTCATATAAACAGTATTTTAAAACAATTGGAAGTAAACAAGGCCTTCCCTAATATTTCTATATATAAAGTATTATAATAATATTTCAGCAATCCCTTTCTGATAGTTTATGCAATCACTAGCATAATTGTTAAAAACATTCAATTTTGAAAGGATAAAAAAGGGCTAGATTCAAGTCTCAATTTTCATAAAGAATTCCTTTAAAACATTTTTTAAATTACCTTAAATGGCATATTTGAATAGCTTGAATAACTAAGAATATATCTTTTTTTAAAAAATTTGAATCTATTGGAGTGGTATTAGTTAATAAAACCATAAGGTTTCAAGTGGGCAACTCTATATAACACATCATCTGCAAACTGCATTATGCACTCACCACCCAAAATCAAGTCTCTTTCCACCACCATTTATTCCTCCCTTTGCCCTCTTCCACAAGGATATATCTTTTACTTGAATATTCTTTAAAATATACTGCAAAGCATGGTTCAATTTTTGGTTCAAATAATATTTTGAAATAATATTGGACTTAAAGATGGCACGTTAGTTTTCCAAACAATTGGTTTTATGAGGACATTTAATTTACATTGCCTGGTTTTTAAAGAAGAAACCTCTGGGGAAAATATTTGACATAATAAAATTCACTTGTTAATTTAATGTTTAGATATATGGCTAAGAAATAGAAAAAATGGTACACATGTAATGAAAGGGGTTAACTCATACAAAACTTATATTTAAAAAAAAAACTCCTAAAAGAATTAAAAAACAAAAACAAAACAAAACAAAAAAAAAACTCCTACCATTCTACTAGGTAATTTTAGACCACAGTTCAAAAAGTTTTTTAAACAGTATGTACATATATTTTCAAGTTGAAGCCACAAACAAAACAAAGTTGCCTTTTCCTTGGTTAAATGATGAAGGAACTTAAAATAAAAGTGTCCTCAAAATGTTGGTATTAAAAGTGGTGATAGTGAAGAACTTGATTTTAGTGTCTTTAAAATATTTTTAAACTATTTTTTTATCATTATCAAGGGCTACTTATATAGTTTGGAAAATATTTTTGCAACATTCTCAAAGATGAAATGCAGTTCAATGTAAATCAATGAATTAAAAAAATAATTGGCAAATGAAAAAGTCACATAGATTGATATCTAAAATTCGTAAGATGAATTCCTATATTTGAATAAAATAAAGCTTCAGTTTTTATACTAAAATATATCAAATAATTTGGTAATTAAAATAATTTTCCTAATCTATACTTTTAAAACTGTCTTTTAAAAAGAATGGTATACTAGAAATTTAAAACTGAATTACTCCAATATTTGATACCCTCTTACTAAGAAGTTGTGCTTAATTCTTTTTTAATATGATTCCTTCCCTTTTTTCATGTTATCACATTTGATTGTCTGAGAAATTACAACATAGTCATAGAGTTGAGGGGGGGAAAAACAAAATAATTACTAATCGTTATAAAACAACTTGGCTCCCACAGCACTTAATCTTCTGCCTACAATCATCATTTAAATTAGTACTTCATCATGTACAGAATTGTAAAAGAATTAAATGATCAAACAGATCCTTTCCAATATTACTGGTAATTATCTCTATATGATTTACACCTATCCCACAGACTAATTATGCCACCACTAAAGACTCAATTGTTGCACTTTCTTCTTTAAAGCAGCATCTATTTTAGGACCAAGACAGAAGTTCATAAATAGGTAGATATAAAAGTAAAGATGGATATCTCATTTATCACGATAGGTATTGCACATGAACCTTCAAAGAGTAAGGAATTGCCCTGAACAGAGAACAAAGTCTAGGAAGGCTGACTACAAAAAGTCCAAAGAATGAGAGTTCTAAATAGGAGAACAAGCTGGCCACTGCCATGTCTTATTCCTGTTTCATTGGTACAGACTAATGAAGCTTTATTTGTTTGTATTCATTGAACAAACATTTGAGTGCTTGCTATATCCTGTGCACTCTGCTAGAGGCTGGAAAACATGAAAAGCTCACAGTCTGGTTGATGTTGAAAGTGTGAAATTCCTGGGAGATTAGAGACTTACATAAATCACATTATAAAGATACAAATAATAAAGTTTTGCTAGAATAAAGAGGATGGGGCAACAAATTCTGACATAGTCTTAAAAAAAAGCTTTATCAAAGAAATGCCTTTTGAACTGCATCTCAAATACTGAAAGCTGACAGGCAGAAGGAGGAGGGGGTGGATTCTAAATGGAAAAAAAAAACACAAAAAAACAAAACTAAGTTTAAATACAAAGTGCCACTAGGTCTGGTATCCATCCACTTGCGAGAAATTCAGTTGTAACAATAATATTCAATGCAAGCTATGAAATAATAGGGTGAAGGAGGAAAAGGAGGCCAGAGGCTGTATCATTGATGGTAAAGTGGTTGAATTTATCCTGAGCGCCAACTAAGGTCAGCAAAGGAATGACATGATCGACCTTGTTTTCAGGGAACAATAACTGTGAAGCCAGTGCAGATGACAGACTGTATGGTGAAGAAACTGCTTAAGAGTGCATATGAAAGATGGTAAAAGACAGTGGCTATGGGGATTTAAAGCCAGATATTTTTTTATGTAAAGTGTGGATTTGGTGACCAACTGAAAACAGAGTAAAGGGAGAGGAAGAACTGAATGAAGACTACAGAGATTTCTGGCTTAGGGAATTGGGCACACCAGAGTCATTAAGGAAGGTCTAAGATACATAAGGGAAAACAAATCATAAAGTAGTTTGGAAATAGAACTTGACATTATGCTTTGTAAGTCATTTTATTTTTTAATATTCTTTATTGATTAAGGTATTACATATGTCTCCTTTTCACCCCATTGCCTCCCCCACCCCCAGCACATGCCCCTGTGTCTGTGTCCATTGGTTATGCTTATATGCATGCACACAAGCCCTTTGGTTAATCTCTAACCGCCTCCCCCAACACTCCCCTGCCTTCCCTCTGAGATTTAATAGTTTGTTAGATGCTTCTGTCTCTGGATCTATTTTTGTTCATCAGTTTATGTTGTTCATTATATTCCACAAATGAGTGAGATCATGTGATATTTATCTTTCTCTGACTGGCTTATTTAGCTTAGCATAATGCTCTCCAGGTCCATGCTGTTGTGAATGGTAGGAGTTCCTTCCTTTTTACAGCAGCGTAGTATTCCATTGTGTATACCTGTGGGGAACCGATATAGGGTTAAGCCTTGGACTGACCTGTTGGCAAAGTCACAAACAGGTCTTCCAAGTCTTAAACAACCCAATCTGAGAGGTGGCCGCTGATTTACATGTGCTATCATTTAAAAAATAAAAAAGGGGGAATTTGCCGGAAGCCGGTCCATCCTTGCTGCTTAACACAGTCACTGCAGGGAAGAAACATCTGCACAACATATGTTTCAAGGGACCTAGGGTATATGGCATACTGTTCTTAATATGTTTGCTCCCCTTCTTAGCACTATGTGTTTTAACCAAGGTCACCTCTCCAGGA